CCCAGGAACATGACATCAGAACGTCACCAGATTTAGGTCTGATTTGGGCGTTTGCTTTGACATAATGTGGTACATGACAAGATTTTCTCAAGAACCATCATTCCTATCATGCAATGATGCAGCGGTGGGCATTAGTCCGCAACAAGGTACTTTTCTTTGCATTGTGTTCAATGCTCAAAATCGTTGCACCAGCATCGGTCCTCCAGCTTCGCTTTCGGTGAGTATCGTGCTAGGACCCCGAAATGCGTCTGAGGACCAAGCCACATGGAAAAAAAGAGATGGGGGCAGGGAATCCATACATCTCAATGTTGCAGTGAGCCACACTTGACCGTGATCGCAGTATCCTCACTTGGAACTACTTGGTATCGAGGGCATGAAAGTCAGTAGGCCAGCCTGAGGCTGCTTCTCATCTACACAGTCATATAAAGTCTGTTTCATCCAGCATCAACAGAATGAGAGAATATCAAGGGATTTTGCGTAACGCTTGGCACTGACCTTCAATTACAAACAAAATTCTTCGATTCTTTTTCATCCATCGTTTCCGAAATCATTTCCTAAGACTGCTCGCTGAAGCTGAAGGGTAAAAAGTTCAAATACCGCCCTATGAGCACCTCAATGTTATAGAAAAATAAAAAGTCACGGAAGCGGCAAACACATTGGGAACGAGGTGCGCTGCAGCTTTATGCAGATTATAGCATCCCCAAGTGGGTGAGAATGAAACAGGTGACATGATTTGAAAAGCTCCGAGTTGACGATTCTGTTACTTTGGTGCTACGACTCTTTGACATTATGGTGGAAAGTGGCAATGCCACGGAAGTGCATCCGTTTCCAAGAATCTGCAACTGCTTCAGAGGCGGAACGGCATGATTTGACATCATCTCACATGTTTTATCTGGTACTTTGTTTTTATCTTTCTTTTTGAGCTCGATTGTCGCAACAAAAAACCACAGAAGCTTGGGTATAACATCATGATGGCCGGTTCGTCCCCACCTCGTCGCGGAGACAGAAGATGTGGCGGTACGGGAAAAACTGCTAGTACTCACATGATCCATGGCGCCATTCAAAGTCACTGAGGCTTCATGACAGAGTATACAAATTATACAAACATGATACAAATGAGCACAACGGAGCATTCAGTGAATGATTCCTCTCACTAACTCCTACGTGCATCCATTTTTCTTGACAGCAAAAGCAGCAGTCGAACACATCCACATGACAACAAACCTATCTACTCCCCGGCCTCCACCTCCCCCCGACCCACCCCACCACCCCCACCCTCCCACCCAGCCGCAACCACAATCCCCTTCTCCGTCTCCACCAACCCCCTCCGATGTTCCGCCCACTCCTCCTCCCCCGGAATCCATCCAAGCGCCTTGAACCAATCGTACAACACTGCGGTCTGCGAAACATTGAACCATCAGCACCCATCCGTGTACAATCGCTGACGAAAACGCGTACCTTATTGACATCAATCCTGAACCACCTCTTCGCCTCCCTCTTCTTTAAGGGACCCCTCCACACGGCGCCCAAGAGCGTTTCTTTGACGGTGAGGTATTGGGAGGGCATCATGCGGAGGGTGGAGCAGGTGCGGAGTTCTTCGGGGGTTAGGAGGTCGTAGCCTGGGGATGTGGGGGGGATTGTAAGGGATGCGCCTGCGTTGATGGAAAAGGATTGATGAAATCAATCAGTACAATGTCCAAAGATAAATCGAGATGATGTCCAAAGATACTCACTCTTCTTCCAAACAACCGGCTGAACCCCCTTCGTATTCCTAAAACTTCTCACATCAATCTTCGGTATCGACCCATGGACTTTCCGTCCTTTATCCCACTCCTTATGACGGGCCTTTTCCGCGTCCTGCATCGTTTCCTTCTCCTTCTCCTTTTCCTTCTCTTTGCCTCCCCCACTCTCCACCTCACGCCGATACGGATGGAACAACGCTGCGGTGCGTTTCTTCTTGGGGGGCGGGACATAGAGGAGGGCGACGGGGTTTGTGGAGTAGAGGGCGTAGACGTCGAGGGAGATGATGCCTTGGGCGCGTTTGTCGGTTTGGGAGGTTGTGGAGGGGAGGGGGAGGGGTGAGCGGTAAGGGGTGGGGAGTTTGCGTTTTGGAGTGGTGGTGGGGGTGTTGGGGGAGGGTTTGGGAGTTGGGCTGGATTGCGGGGTTTGTTTGTCTTCGCGCGAGAGGGGGAATGATGATGATGCTGATGCTGCTGTTGAGGGGCCGGCGGGGGACGCGCGATTGTGAGGCGATGTTGAGGGCGGACGTGCGAGTGTGAGCGTGACGGTGTAGGGTCGTGGTGTCGTGGAGGGAGGTTTGGTGGTTGATGATGTTGTCGGTGATGAGGAGCGGGTCGGGGTCGGGGATGGGTCTGGGGTGAGGTAGAAGTTCATTGTTGGTGGTTGATGCTGTTAATTTTGTGCGGGGATGCAGGTGTATTTGCGGGTACGATCAGATTGTGTTGGATGCGCCAATCAGTGAGAAGAGGGATTGGTCTGGATGGAAGGTAGATGCAATTCGGACGTGAAGGAAGGAGGATATTGCTGGACGTGACGATGCGATGTCAAATGGATACCAATTACTAATTCGCGTTGAATGAGATGAATAGCGCAGTAAAGCAGTGGATTGACTATAATATGTTGAAGGGGTATCCGATGTAGGGACAATGGTAGGAAGAAAAAATCCGTTGACAAGAGGGGTGTTTGAGCAGTTACGCAGCAGCGCGCCTTCACTTCACATGTCAAAGATGCCTCAGCCGCAAAGCCCGAGGAGACTCACTGTGCACACACGATTGACACGTAAACACAGACACACAAACAGACTGCGAATGGCTGCGCAAAGAAGGGGCTCAGAATTGACTGAAACCCCTTACAACAATCGATGGGCAATCGGAGGTGTCAAACGGTAATTGGATGTGCAGTCTGTGAGGCCTGTGATGTGACGATGGCGATGGAAATCTCGGGAGCCCGCAAGGTTCCGCGCCACAGCCGAGTCTCGCCCCCTAATCCGAAACACCATCATATGTGGTTGGCGAAGGAATAAGTAAATAAATGCAGGATAGGGACCAGCATTCAACACCATGAAGACATGCGCAGAGCAGGCGATCACTGAAGGGAGGCTGCCCAGCGTTGCCTTAGTGCGTCATGGACACCCATTGATATCCCCTTACACCCAAGCCTACACACCTGTCAATTGAAGGACGTAAGGGCCGGGCCGATGCTGGTATGGATTGTCCCGTAGCAGAGCAGGGATGAGTCGATTGGGCCGCAATCCGTGTAGGGATGGGTGGTGACTGCTTGCTGGCAGTCCCTATAAAGTGAATTTGGCTATGTTTTGTATGGTGGATGACGGGTGGGGTCAGCGTTTGACGACTGGCCCATATGAATCACATAAAAGGGCTCTGGCTCAAGAATCCGCAGTTCAGAGCATCCAGCCAGCTACAAGTCATTTCCAAGGCCGATAACCATGACTGCGGGTCATAAACGGATTTTGACAGGTAGAAAGACCTTCTCATGTTTTCTTTTTTTGCCATGCCCTGCCATTCCGACCAAACAACATGCGGTCAGAGAGTCAGAGTGGCTTGACAAATTCGCCGAGAAACTCGGAGGGTGTTGAACACACTGACTGCGGTGATGACCATTTCTGTTCAACTGCGAGTGGGCGTCTTATGAGGGGGCTCCATGCTTACAATCCCCCTTTGAGTTCCATTTCCATAGCCTTTCACCTCCGTTTGCCATTTTGGCGCGCATTCATGTGTTCAGATGTTCGCGTGCAAAGTTGGCCCGGATCAGCCCCCGCCCCTCCAAGAGCTCCGATGGGGGTGGCACAGTCTTGTCAATGGGGCAGCATAACACATGAATGCTGTGCCACCTAACGCGACTTGTCTTTGCGCAGTCAGCATGATTGCTTTCTCAACCCGGCCTGATGGTATACTTGGCACACCACATTGAAAGTCTCAGGCAATCGCGCTCATCTTCAATTTATCCCCGGTTCGACTCCGGGTCAGGCCACTAATGAATAATACAATCATCTTTTTTTCTGTTTCTAGACTCCATTCATTTGGGGAAACTCGTCAGAGTACTCCACACAACCCCTCCAACAAGGCCTGAGAGTATACTTGGCATACTACCTTGCATTATAAACTGGGGCAACCGTTTACCGCAATTTCCCGGTTCGAGTCCGGGTCAGGCCACGTCCTTTTTTTGTTTCTTTACAATTTAGTCGCTTGACCAATGCAACCCCGATCATTGAGTGATTCTACAACAGGCCTGATAGTATACTTGGTTTACCACATTGCATTACCGTAACAGAAGTCTCTGTTGCTCGCAATTTCTTCCCAGTTTGATTCCAAGTCAGGCCGTCATATTCAGGGATATATATACTGCTTTCTTTTGTTAGTTTTTGCACATTTTTCCTTATGCGAGCATGACAGTCTTGCATGGCGATTACTCTCACCCCGCTCTCTAGAGCAATTTTCCCATGTGCACCATTTGGAGATTTCAACCTCGGACCGCACACCAGCTCAAGTGTGGTAGTCTGCTTTCAAGGATGGACAATGCAACGAGAAATACACTGTGAAAGGCAACTGAGACCAACCAAAGTGTCGAAGGTCTGGACATCCACATCTTGAAGCCTTTATATCTTGATGCAAACATGCTGGTACGTGAGGCTTAGTCGCATACTCTCTAGGATTCCCTAGCTTCATTTAGAAGCCACTGAAGCCAGCTTGAGGTTTCAGCGCTCACTGGAATGACTTGGCTAATCCAGTTCCTATTTTCAAAGTTCACAATATCGGCGAAGTCTGGACCGTCTGATTGTAATTCGCTCTTAATATCGGGCTTTAACCGCCTCTTATCTACTATTATACAAGGAAATCTCTTTTTCCCTAAACCGTCTGGTTTGAGCCCCAATTGTTAAGTTGGTTTGGACCACCGCATCGGGATGATGACGAAGTCGGTCACATTTCGCACTGCGGGCACCGTTGATCGCACTTGCGGATGTTTGATTTTGGTTTTGATCGACCTTTTTTTTTAGGTCATTCCTCTCGGTTTTCCGTTATTTTGCTTCCCGGACTTTTGGATTGCTAATCATGTTCCACACAAACCGTTCTTCCAATTCAAAAGATTCAATCGACAGTCGATAGATGAGACTTCTTAGTACTTCTTCATGATTGGTAACAACACTGTTCTGGTTGCCACGAACGGTGCGGCTGTGCATTTTATATTGACATGTCTTCACCATTCTTTTTGAGCTGAAGAAATGTCGTTATGTGAGTGTTCAGTGTCCATCTATCGGCGCATATACTGAAAAAGGTCCCGTTCTCGTGTGTGAGCAGCAAATGGGCGGTGTTTAGATTATGAGACGAATGCGAATTACACATTGCCCGCTGACGAATTCGCGCTTCCCCGACTATGCGATCCGATGCCAAAGTTTGTTGGCATTCGCAACGTTCAGAATTCCACAACGCTATAATGGATTCACCCTACAATGTGCATTCTGATTTGTTGGCCTGGTTTTTCGTTTTTCTCATCAGGATGTGACTGATGTGGTCGTAAGACTCCTCAGGGTCGCTGAAAATTTGCAATAGTGTAAAAGGTTTGCAGGCAGGTGTTGATCATTACTTCAGTCACGGTTCGCTCACTGCACATTCGATCAGTGATGCCGCTTATCTTTTTATGCATCAACTGCATATGGGGGGGGGGGGGATCAAAAAGACCAGCTCGGCTACAAGCTTGAGGGTAGCCCACTGTGCGCTGATTGCTCTGGTACTCCGGTAGCCGGCTTTCAGAGGTTGGTGGAATTCTCAGAACGCCGTGAGGATAATGGACCTCGAAGTCTGTCTCGGCGATCATAACTGGCACAAGGAAATCCTTTTTTTTGATGTAGCCATTGCTTATGCAACAGCCAAATCCCCACAACGTGACTGATAGTTTCCTATTTCAAATCGTTGCATTCTTCGGCAGTCATTGCCACATGTCATCCCAAGTCACTGCCGGGATTTGTGGATGACGGCGATTCAACTTCTGGACAGTTGGGGAATGGCACTCGCAACCGCAGACTGCCACGGTTCTGAGTATTGCGAGGTTGTGAAGTCACGCTCACTTCGAAGCACATTTTCATTGGCACCTCATCACTTCCTTTGATCTGAGAAATGCTTCTGCTCCTGTGAAGTGACGAAAACCATCCACAGTCGGAGCTGGTCAAAGCGAAGCTTGCGATCTGTCGATCTGCCCATCAGTATGCTATTTTTTGTCGCCTTGCCTCATGGTCGCACTGTTTGCCTCAAGCAGTAAGATGATATCTCATCAACGATGTGTGGAATGCGAACTGTACTAATACGCAACTTTCTGGAAAAAAGAGCGAGGGTACTACATACGATGAAAGCAGTGAGATCTTGGCAATGACTCCACCTGCAGTGATAGCTGGTAGTGTTTTACTACAGCAGAGACGGTTACGGTTTCGATGTTGAGTCATACTTAGATATCATCGAGAGTAACCATAGATACTTTGTTCCTCCATCGCCAGGTACTATGTCCAAGGGAACCACGATTAGACATTTGACGAATGCGGTAACGATGCACAGTGCAGGTTTGAATCTGCTCTGTCAGAGTGACAGCTGCCGCGGATGCTCCTCTTACAGTCAACCTCCCGCAAATAGTTGCTCTCCCACTTCTCTGCCCCGATTGGAACATGCCTACGGAAGAGCTATTTAGATGCGAATGAGTTGCACGAGCATATTATTGTTGTAGGCCGAGGCTGAATCCAAGCGAAGATGGACTGGCCCATTGGATATTGTCACCAGAAAATAGCAAGTAGGCGAGTGTTGCCTCGTTCACCACTGAACACTGAGATAAACTGTTTAATGTCATGACCATGCGAGATGTCAAGCGACGAATGCTCATATATGTGCAATGTCAGCCATGGGTTTCGTTTTCTGGCAGGGCGGATGGCAACACGAAAGATCAACCAAAACGAAACCGAACCAACATTTGTCGAGCATTTGACGCAGGCAAGCTGGTAATCGCCTGCTTCCAGCATCGAATGCGTATGTTTGCACTGTGAGTGCACCATGCTCAAATGCACCATATCTCGGCGCGGGTGGCAGTGGGTGCGCTCAGGCGACGATCTTGGAATGACATATATTAAGTATTTTATCCCGCAAAGATCTCGTTGACATGCTTCTTTGTACCCGTTTTCTGTCTCACTTGATGTTCCAGCACGCGGTTTCCCCGTTGGTTATGCGCGTTCAGGAACTCTCCTGTCAGTGGAAAAGGCCGACCTTCATCTTGTGGGTCCGTTTGCCGTCAATGACTTCCTGGACCCTGGTGTACGGCATCAAGCCCATCACTCATCATTCAGCGTGAAAACACTGCCTCTCAAAGATTTGTAACGCACTTCACAGAGTGCATACCAACCGTCGGTGTCTTCCCCTCCGCAAATCATGATGTGAAAACAGTGCATCCCTCTCACCTGACGAAGTTTGAACGCCTGGTGAAAGATGGGTTCCATGGACGGTGTACGTTGGTTTATTTTTCTGGTTTCAAAATAAAGGTCGGGCACCTTGAAAGTGCCAAAAAGAAAAGCCCTCCAGGAACTCGCATGTGATCCACGGAAATGAATATTCGCGTGATGGTATCATATGTGTGAATAAGATCATTGATGATGGATGCAAGATCATCCTTGTTATAGAATACATCCTCATGTCACCCTCTGCACTCCCTCGCTCTCATTAACCATTACTCATATTTTCCTGCAATCCCGTCGCCAAATTTCACCTCCTCTCTGTCCTCATCCTTAATCCCATCTCCTTCCTCATCATTCTCCTCCTCCTTCTTCCCCATCTCCTCCAATATACTACCAAACCCCTCTACCTCAACCACGTCCTCTATCGCTCTCTCTCCACCAAACTCCTCCTCCTTGACCTCCACATCCCTTGGCTTGACACCTCCCATGAACTCCTTTATGGGACACGGCCCAACAGGTGTTTGCTGTGGTCGTCCGCGTGCGGCGCAGGTTGTACAGCATTTTCCGTGCTGGTGAGATCAATCGTGCAAAGAAAGGTATTGGATGAGTTATTCAGAACAGAGAGCGGCCGACTTTTGACAAAACAGGGAAAAAGGAGAGAAAAGGAGGGAACTGATTGATCACACACCTTAACAAACAAAACATGCAACCCAAACTTCAACTCATCCGGCACCTTCGCATCCAAATGCGCATGTGCCTCCTCCCTACTCGCCCCTTGCGGAACCCATCCAAGTGCTTTGGTAATTCGGAACACATGCGTATCAACCGCGAAGGAATGTCTCTTTAAACAGAACAGTAACACGCAACTCGCGGTTTTAGGTCCAACCCCGTCAAATGACGTCAACTTTACCATGGCCTCTTCATCTGTTGCGGAATGGAGGTGGTCGAGTGTGCAGGTTCCATATTTGGAGTGGACGGAGTTGAGGATGGCTTGGATTCGTCGAGATTTGGTCTTTGCTAGACCTCCGACACGGATAGCATCCTCCACTTCCTCCTGCTTGGCTTCGCGTATGGCGTCCCAGTTACAGCTACCAAACTTCTTAACAAGACCCTTATGTGCGTTTGTGCTGTTTGCGTTTGTGGTGTTTTGGGAGAGGATGGTGCGGATGAGGGCGTCAAGGACGTTGGGCACGTCGCCGCAGCCGCCGGGAGTTGTGCGGGGGCGGCGGGTGGGGAGGCCGTGGAGGGTTGAGAGGCGGGTGTGGATTGTGTGTGCTTGGGAGGGGGTGGGGTAGGGGTGGGTTGGGAAGGGAGTTTGGTTGGGTGTTGGGGTGTATTTTGGTTTTTTGGGTTTGGGTGTTTTTGGGGTTAGGGGTTCAGAGGATATGGAGGAAGATTGGGGAGATGGTGTTTTACGTTTTTTGGAGGTTGGGCGGGGAGTTGAAGGTGGTGTGGGGGGTGTTGATGTGGAGGAGACGGAGGTCGGGGGGTTACGGGTGGACTTTTGCCTTAGGCGTCCGGTCCATGATGCGGGTTGGGAGTCCAT